CTTGAACAGTTCCCAGGCTCAAATTTACTACCTATTCACTACCTGAATCAGCATAATCCTTGAATACTTCAAGCCCATAAAAAGTTTTTCCACGGTGAATTGAATCTATATCTCAGTAAACTTCCTCCACATGTAAGCCTCTCCCTTATTCCATAAATACCCAATAGATGTTTAACGAGCCATTCTATGAATCAAGCAATTTGCTTGGGGCTGGAAAGAAGACACTCAAGTGTCTTGAAGGACTCTGTTAAAACAAACATTGTCACTTTGCAAGAACAATACGTTAACCCATTAAAAAACACACTAATGTTTTCTCAAGCATGAGTGTGAAAGTAGAAAGCTACCACTTTAAAGGCCACAAGGAGGCCTGGAAAGTGAGTGTTAGGCCAAGGAGAGTTACATGCAGATCTGGGAGGAGCCCTGCTGGAAAACAATAAGGTTATTGCAGCTGAGTCCTGGACCCTGGACCCTGGACTTGCTCAGCTGCCGAGAAATGTTGAAATGAGTATGAGTGTGCAAAGTTCCCAGTTTCACCAGAAGTCAGCTTGTTGGAAATGTTCCCAATAGTTGTGTTCTGCTACCAGCAAAGGAGTAATTTCTAAATTAATCTTCCTATCCCTAGTGCCTGGTGCAGACCTTGGGACCACAAACTTTCTCAGGGCTGCAGTCCTCTATCCCTTTGTGCCTTGGTGTGGGCCTTCAGAACCACTGCTTCCTTAGGGAAATACAATATCTTACACATTACATGTTTTGGGTTGTATTCCATACAAATGGCTGTTTAATTATAAATATTTCTATGCATGTAAAATATCATTTAATCCTTCTCATTATCTGTTACTCTCTCAGAGTAGCCTAGATATGGTTTTCTCATTAAAGTTTTTTTTATGATAGAGAATTCCTGGGGGGTTTATTTTTTCGGCAGAGATTTTAAAGATATATTTCCGTCCATTTACAGCTGAAGAAACGAGTCCCTGAGAAACCTCTTTCACCAAGATTGTACAGACCTGACCTGGCAGAGGAAGACCCAGAATTTAGTTTGAAGAGGTTCAGGCTTTCCTTTTCACCACTGGATTTTTTACCTCCAGTCACATGCCCATCCCCATCCCCATCCGCTCCTGTTTATCTAGCTCAGAGGTCAGAAACTGTTTAGTCACCACTGTCTTCCAAGTCATATAATCTAGAGATTTATATATATTAAAAATCCTGATCTCCAGCGATCTTGACATATCAGAAAGCCCTGGCTACACCCGCGTTCTTACTCTCTCAGGACAGCGAGGACGGTGCTTCCCCTAGTTTCCCAGCATGCCATTCTCACAGGCAGGCAGCCTGCTTTACTCATTTACGTTATATGCCTGGCACCTGTGGGCAGTCTGGGTCGTGACCTGTGATTGAGTTAATTCCCAAGCGCACACACATGCGTGGGGGAAACTACGTAAGTGGCATAGACAACACTCATATGTCAGGGATTCTTAATCTGAGGTGCATGGATAGACTGAGGAGTTGAAGGACCCCTTTGAAAATACAGACACGTTTATACCTATGTCAAATTTATAATTTCTTGGTGAAACAGTACAAAGAAGTCCCAGTCTCTTAAAGCAATCCACACCCTGAAAAGATTGCAAAATCTTGGCCTGAGGGATCAATAGTATGATGACATCAGTATTGAGTAAACTATAAAAATAGTCACAGCTCTAGGAGAGTCAAAGCCATGCAAAAAGTATATAGATTCAAATATCTTTTAATACAAACATTTAAATTTCTGAGCCATTTTCCTTCTTTTTGGTGTTGGTATGGGAACAGAGTTTTTCACAAAGAAACCTGTTGTGACTTCCCTGAATTCATTCTTTTATTCGACAAATATTCATTGAGTGCCTTCACTACAGGACAGGCACTGTTCTGGTGCTGTGGATATAGCAATAATCAAATCAGAAAAAAACCGTGTCCTCATGACTACATTGGGAGAAGACAGAACAAATAAACTAGTCAAATATACGGCATATGCATATTAGAAAGTGGTTAAGTGCTATGTATGGAAGTAAAACATGGAAAAGCGATAGAGTATGCTTGGGTTGCAATTTTAAATTGAGTGGTCTGACAAGACCTCACTGAGAAGATACCATGTGAGCAAAAATTTGGAGATGAAAGTGAGCCACCTAGACATATGGGGGAAGAGGGATTCAGTTAGAGGGAGCAGCTCAAGCAAGGGACTAGATGCGGGATCTGGCCTGGCAGCTTCTAGCACCTCAAGGAACTCAGTGGTGCGGGAACACAATGATCAGGGGAAGAGGATTAAAGAATCAGCAGGAACAGCCTTTTGATGAATCACAATAACACAGGGAACCTGTAGCTGGAGTTTTTCACCAGATGGGACAATTTCAAAGCCTGCTAAGTGCTATGTCAGCTTTGGGAGGATTCTGACTTGAATTATTGAATTTCTTAAGGAAATACGCCTTGTGAAAAGAGGCAGTCCAGGGAGGGGTGTATCCGTGGGGAAGGAGGGCCAGCCTGGGTTGGAAGGCTGTATCCAGATGAGCATGTGTCTGCTCGGGGAGACACAAGGGCTCTTGTTGCAGGTCTGCTTTCTGCAGACCTAAATGGTTGTTGGAAAAGTCATGATGCATTTTTGCAATGAAAAACAGAAAAAATATGTCATGTTATGACTTTTCTGACAACCCAATAATTATAGACTGAAGTAAATGTTGGGGTCAATGCCATTCATCATGGCATCTGGAGGTATGCTGGCACTAGGAAGCAGTCACTGTGACGGATGGATCTTTGCTTTAAGGTGTTCATATTAAGCAGGTTACAGTATAGATTTTGTGTTGTTTCAGGGCATTTATTCTCCATACAGTAAATTTCACATTTTAATGCCAACATTTATGTGGTATAGTGGGTTTTTTGTATTTTATGTCAGCTTGTAAATTTTGTTAATTCTATTAAAAAGGCAGGGATAGAACAACAACAAAGAAAAGATAACTTCTCAATTAAGAATCATCATTCCAAATCTCAGTTAAGAATGTTGCCGGCAGTATGATGGAATTTTTCCTTGCTCAAGATATGATTTAATATACAGTGTGGAATAATGCTAACATTAAAAATAAACGATTTTGGACTTATTGAGAAACACAACAAGGGCCTTCTATGAAGTGACTGAAATGACATAATGTGAATCGGAGATTGAAAACAGACAGGCAGTATTATGTACTTAGGAAAGGGCTTCCATCTTAGTCCTCCTGAGGTCTGCAGAGCTTCTGGGTTCTATCAATGGTTTGAGCAGGGCCAACTGACGCACAAGGGAGGTCAGAGGTCTGCTCACGTTCAGAGGCGCCATGGATTAGCTGTGGCCATTTCTGGTTTTTGTCCTTTGCTTTAATTACTATTCCACATGGCCTCCTGAGGCATGGATACCATGCTTCTGCACCACCATGGCAAGGTTTTAAAACACATTTTATCATGAACACATCTTCCCATTCTTCCAAACATGCTTAGCTTGCAAGAAGGAAAAAAATGGTAGGTTATTTAAGAGCGGCCAAAGGCTAATGCCTCCTACAAAATTGATTTGGCGATACACCAACCTTTTAAGAAGAAATGGATTTTTAAAAAACTTCATATGAAACTGTAACCTTGGTGATTTTGTTATGCACTTCTATATGGGTGGTGTGGGTGATAATGGAAAGAAGCAGGCTGATACACGCTTGCCCATGTTCATCTAACTCTGAAATACTCAATATATCTTTAACAATAAAGAAAAATTTCCCAGCCATACAAAAGCCTTCACATTAAAACTTTCTAAAGCTCAAACATGTAAAAATAAAGGGAAAGAGTCTTTATAGCCCACTGTACCTTTCAAAGCCTCCTGCTTCTGAGGTGAGAGCAGTATGCCTATTTGATGATAATAATTTTCCTTCAGGTCGTTTTTAATCTCCTTCAGAATTTGGCCTTATTGATGCAATCCTCTGGCAATTTGCTGGCTTCTGTTTAAAACTGGTTAGTCCAAGGCTTATTTTATCTTGGTTACTATATTGGTCTGCATCATTGGTCACTGTTCTCTCAATAAGAAACAGATTATCTGTAGCACACGCTGCACAGCTGAATTCAGCAGTGTTCTGTAGAAAATCCATTGGAAAACAGATTTCATCATGATTCTCATTTGACAGATTTTCCAAATCTCTGGGGCATGGATTCTTTACCACTGGCCTTAGGAGGCACTTGTCTTTTTCAACATTTCCCAGAGAGCTGAGTGACTTTTTAAAGTTTTTTGTTCCCATGGGACAATGAGAATCAACTGTGCCTTCTCGATCACTTTGCATAATTAATCTTTGTTCTAACTCATCAGTTATTGAGGTCATGACTGACACCTTTGTTTTGCTGGGGGCTGCTATCTCTGGATGACTTGCCTGGGACTCTGTTCGACCCCGTTCCACAGAGCTGTGGCAACCACCATTGGGTGGGCTCCCAGCAGTGAGCCTGCCAGAGGACGCTAGGCTGAGAGTCGGACCCTGTGTACTCTTCCGTTCCAGTAGCTGCTATGCATTTGTGTGACAGTTGCTAGGTAAAGTGGCTTTGTTAAAGTCTCTGTCAGTCATACCAACTTGCTTTTCCTCATAGTCTATCACAACTTCAGCACCATGATCAAAGGAAAATGTGTCCGTAGGGGTTTCTTTAGGTTCTGAACGTCTGGTGGTCCAGTGGGATGGGATGAACAAGGTGGAAGACTTCAGAGTATTTTGACTGGAAGGGAAAGATATGGGGTTTGAATTCTCACAGCATTCTGCAGGTGGAATTGTGCTGCCTTTGCAATAAATGTTGGCTGTCTTTTCTCCTGGGAGCTCTACATTCACAGAAGACAAAGAAGAAAAGTCAGAGTCTTTGCCATCTTGAACTGGGAAGATGTCAGTTACGGTACCCGGGAAATAGTTTACTCCTTCTGTGCTTTGCTGAATAGATGAGTCTGATGTGCTATTTTCTGGGCTATCAATGTTGATTTCTCTCTCTCTCTCTCTCTCTCTACATCCTTAGGACCCTCAGAAGGCATTTTGCTTAAGTCTTTGTCACTTAAACTTGTGGTCTTTAGAGTATCATGTGAAGTAGGGAGGTCATTTTGGAGAAGAGTCTCAGCTTCAGGGAAATGTTTCTTTTGGGGGGTGTTCTGACTAATTCGAAAATCCTTCTGTTGAGAGATGGCAGAACCTACCTCACAGTCATCTAAGACTGAAGATTGGGTGTCAGGTTTATCTTTCCTCTCAGGGGCTGAGCACAGAGGAGCCACAACTATCAAAATTATCCTCCTTCTGGGCAGCCAACACAATAGGAGGAGAGACATGCAAACAATCTGAACTCTGATGCGTGTTTTCAAGCTGCCACTTTTCAGGGAGCCTGACACTAGACTGTGCAGAAGACCTGGAACATTCTTTAGTGGTATGGTTAGAGGAAACTTTTCCATATGTAGCTGTTTTCCCCCTCCTTTTAGGATAAGTTATATTAAATATTATATTGTGTTTCTTACTTGTGCATTTAACTTGAATTCCTTTTCCTACAATGCTTACTTTTAGTGAGGGACTCTCAGTTCTGGCCATGTCTCCTTCATATGTAGATGGCACCTCAGAGTTTAATACTTCTATCAATACATTCTTGTACTTAGAAGAGCAGCTTCTAGAAGTGTAGCATCTTTGAACATGTCTGACAGAGTAACATGGGCGACATTTTGGACATCTCTTTTTTGTTGGGAACTGCATTCCTGTTTTACAGAAAAATCTATTCTTAATTGCTACGTGCACATTGAAAGCCCCACATTTTAATTCTGTAATAATTTTGCCTTTTGCTGGCTTAAAGCCTTCTAGTGTGTTTGGGATATCCTGCAGGGTGATTTTTCCTGATGATGATTCTTCACAGTCATTAAACATGACCACGGGTGAGGCTTTTGTTAGTTGATGAGAGATAGACAAAAGAGGATCATCATTTTCCTTCTCCCTACTTATTTTACTGTTAGATGCAGGTTTTTTCTTATCTTTAGGGAGAAAAGAGGAATTCTGCTTTCCGTTCATAGAAGCAGATGTACACTCATCTCCATTTTCTTTAGATTTCCCTAATGCCCCAGTTTGATGAAACACAGCCTCTGCGGTGTCTCCTTTGATTTCCTTTTCAAGATCTTTTACATTTTCTTGGCATGCTTGATTAGCAGGCTGAGGTTCACCTAAAGAGGAAGCAAAAAAAAAAATTCTGTGTCCATTTAATAAAGCAGATATTCCAAATTCTATGATAAAATTCAATGCATATCTTTTGTAAGTAGTTTGAGTAATATTTCTAGTATGTCAAGGTATTTCCACAAAATTCATTTCTAATAAACATCTTGTTTTAAATCAATTATCTTAGAATGCAGAAGATCACTTGGATTGTTTTAGAAAGGAAGAATCAAATATAGCTTTACTCTAAAACAGAGTCTTTCAAAATGGGTGGCATAAAAATTTCAGAGAAAATTTATGCAAATAAACTTGAAGTGACTTCTTGATAAAGAGCAAGTTGCCATGATCAGGTATTTGAACTGTGTGGCATTATAATAATATATATTATGTATAATAATTATATATATATATATATATAATAATTTGAGATGGTACAACAAATAAAAATGTGGGTAAAGAGAATGAAAGAGACCTAAAGGCTTCTAGACAGCCTTTTAAATAGGTCTGATACTTTCCTTTGACCAGAGAGAGGGGCTTTTTATACAACAGAGAAGGTGTCCTAGTGTTGCCAGATCCTCTTGTTTTCCAGGAAAAAAACTAGAGTATGGATTTACTATACAGTGAAATCTCCCAATTTCTAGGGATGGGCCCACATTTTGAAAAACCCTCTGTAGATGGAGGCCAGCTTTAGTATAAGAACAACCAGCTTGGAACCCTCTGCTTTATACTGTTAGGACATTTGCCATGAAAATTTTGTGAACCTGAGCCTGAGCTATCAGATCTTGTGTGTAAAAGGGTGGACAAAATATAAAGATCTCAAATTATGGGTTAAACTACATCTGAAAGACAGTATTTGTGAGGAAAAAGAAAGAAGAATGGGCAACAAGTAAATAATGATGTCAGGGAAATCTATGAACCATCTTTCCACAAGGATAGTTTTAATAAGCTGATTAAGTTAAAAACGGAAAAGGGTTATTTATAAATTTATATGAAATGTTCTTAATTTAAATATGATTTTGTATATATTTATATGTTTATAATATAAAATATAAAAGCTTATATAAACACTTATATAAAGAGTAAATAAAAAAAGAGTAAATAAATAAATTCTCTTCAGCAGAAAAAAGAAAAAAATATCCCACCACACTTTGGCTAGAGGTGGCATAGGAGTATGGGGTGCCAAAAAAGAATTGCCATTTCAGAATGAAATAGAGAATCATAGGTTTAGGAATTATTGGTTTCCAACTTCAGGAGAGGTATGCAGACTTCTGATCTAACACCTAGGTCCTGCAGCGTGCTAAAGTTCCCTGGGGAGTCTAATCATTCCCATTGCCTCTTCTAGTCTGAGGGAGGGGCTTTTTTCATGGCAAGCCCTGAAGCAGTTTCCAGTGGGCCTGGTTATAACCTGTGAGCTGTAATATGGAAGTCATGGGAGAAAAGATGTGGAGACATCTCTCTCTAAATCCCATTCAGAATACAGCATGTACACGATAGCAGTTTGCAGACTAATAGATGGCCTTCGAGAACTGTAGATTACAATTTATTCCTAAAAATAACACCCTCATGCCAAGAACAGTTCATTTTATAGCCCTTTTCAGTTTTTTAATTTTATAGTTTGTAGCCTCTTTCAATGGACTACACTTCAATCTTTGCAAGTAGGAAGATAGAACTAAGATAGTTATGTAATACTGCAATAATAACAGATTCTAAGAACAGGGGTCTTAATATCTTTGAATAAGTAAATATTTTATTTTTCAAAATTGATATCATTAATAATTTATGCAGAAATGTATACATAACAACTTCCAAATTTTTAATCATTTTATAGCATTGATATGCATTTATCTTCCTATATTTATAGATATTCCTGTAATAAAGAACAAAGAGCATAAGTTGGGTAGTTCATTTTATACATATTTATAAAACCAATGAATTGGACTTACATATTGTGGGATTCAAGATTTTCCATTTTTTATAAGCTTTCTTCTTTTTCTCCTCATTTTGGGGAGCTGAGGGTCTTCAGCTTTCACTGTCCTTTGAAAGCATAAAATTTGAAATTATTTTCTACTCATAATTTAGGTTTAGTAAAATTGCTGATTAACTCAACTCATTTGCCAGCTTGATAGCATAGTATTTTTTTCTGGTATCCCAGGGCTTCTCCTTTGAATACATTTTATCATAATTATATTTTTCCTCCTTACTTAATTCTACTGCAAATATATAGTGTATTATTACATATCATGTGAACATTCAAACATTTTTTTTCATATGTGTAGACATATAGGATGCAAGTTATAAAATCATATTCTGTTTAATTAATTATTTTGACATTCCAATTTTTCTTAGCCTTAATGGAAATATCTAATTTTTTATGAAGTTGACCTAAATTCAATATCATCAAATTTGTACTCATGCTAAATTAATTGGAGTAGGGAGCTGGTTTGCCTTCATTACGTCATGCAATAGTTTCCCACTGAAGTTGTTTTGAGTGTATGAGTATATTTGGGCAGGCTCTGCCTTCAGATTGCTCAGCAGAGAAGCTCATCGTTTGTTTTGCATGTAACTCAAATCAAATGAGCTGCTTTGTGGCCAGTTTTGGCAAAAATTTATTTAAATTCTTCTTAACTCATCTCTTTTCTTAAAATCCTGTACATTATAGTATGTGTTGATTTTAAATCCTTTTTCTTCCAAAAACTCCCAAACTCTCATAACATTCTGAAAATTCTTTGGCCTTAGGCCACCATTCTTACAGAGAGCAATTGACACTCTTTAGGCATCTTACAATTATCACTTCTATTCTCTCCCCCAATAGGCACAATTAAGTTCCTATGGCTGACTAAGCAAGCAATAATCTTTTTTTTTTTTTTTTTAGAAGGCCACCATGGGGATTGGGTTGGGGAGAAGATTACAAACATATAATTAATATTCTTCTTTTTTTATCCCTGTCTTACACATACTGGATTTTCTAATTTAAAAAATGCTTCAAAAGCACTTGACTAGGTTATCGATTATTTCTCAATGGCCCCATATTGTTTGAATAGCAAAATTCAGCTTGTGGTGCTGTGTTTCAGTGGAGAGGACTCTGGGCTTTGACTCAGAAGATCTGGATTGTGGTCTGGCTCTGAGGCTTACTTGGTAGGTTTTATAATCTCTGTGAGGTTGAGTTGCCTTTCCCTCTAAGGTGGAAATGATAACAAACTCCACTTACAGAGTTGTCTTGAAGAAACACAACTGAAAATATGTTATAAGAGGTTCCAGTCAAATGACATCTATCATTCTTACCTCGTGTTAGAGTATATTATGTACTTCTTACAATGCATACTCACATAATTAGAGTTGAACAGTGCCTGACTTTGGGAGAATATCTATCCCATCAGAGCTTCAAGCAAGTGCTTAGATAGAGCTGATCAAACCATAAACTCTTTTCGAGCTAGAATATCTAGACGTTGTCAAGATCATCTCATTCAAAGTTCTCATTTACTGGAGGAAAACTGATACTCAGAGAGTCCTTGCTTCCTGTATCACACTAATAGTGGCAAATTTGGGACTAGAACCCAAGCTGTTAAAAATTAGGCAAACTCTCTCTTTGAGCAGAAACCCATGGTATAGATATTTCTGATCTTAGAGAGCAAATTTTAATGAGTTTGCACTTTAGCTCCAAAAAAGCAGAACAATTTTAAAACAGGAAATTGAATGTATTGTTGAATATGTACATAGTATCTAGCACAGTGCCTGGCATATAATTGGCACCTAATAGATATGCATGAATAATTGAATTACTTAGGTATCCCCAATCTGTATATAATTATGTTTTTAATAACGTGCCCTTGTATATTTCTAAATGTATTCTTTCCTTTTCTGTGTATTAATTTGTTGATAGTTAATAAAGTTTCTATTTTTTAACAAAGACATTGCTCATCTTTTCCCCCACTAGTTCTCTCTCTTATTCTGTACTTCTGTAAGAGGCACCAAAATCAGGTGGTGGTAGAGCCTGGAATAATTGGCATAAGTCCCATAAGCATTCTACAGGGGGTACTATGAATTCTACTCTGTGACAGCATACATTTCTTCCTATTTGCCTGTTAAATATTGTGTGGTTGTAGCCACATTGTTTAAATGAATCCTGAGCAAAATGAGGGGTGAGAGAAAATTCCTTAGCATCCCACTCTCCTGTTTCTTTGTTCCTTGTGTGGGACTCTTCCTCTGAGGTAGTCAGTCACTTGATTCTCTCTCCAGCCTCTGTCTCTTCTTTAGAAAGGGCCTAATAAAACTTATTCATAGAGAAAGTTCTCAGGATAGAAGCAAAGCAGAGGCACCAAAGACGTTTTAGAAGATTAAAGACTTGCTATTTCCAAAAATTTCAAAGTGGTCACCATTGGAAAATTCAGAATATTGTTGGATTTCCTCACACATAGTTTACAATTTTATATTTCACATGAGGATACCACAATCATTTCAAAAGCTTTCCTACAATGATTTAATAATATTTACATATTTCTTATTTCTAAGAAAAGTATTTTACACTCTCTCTCCTTTTCAACTTCCTATCCCTTCTCCTCTTCTTACACTCTCCATGCTGATCTGGATACATAACCATGGGAAATAGAGACTGACCGAAATTCTCTCCATTTTCCAATACTAAAACTACCAAGTTCTTTGATTTATATCATATACTATCAAATCTCTCTTAGTTTGTAGATGAAGTAAGTGTTCCTGGGACCATTTTTCTGTGATTATTCTCCTCTTCTTGCTGCAATATCAATTTCCATCCTCCATTGCATTATTCTCATTTCAGCATACAAACATTCCTTGACCCCTCCATCTACTGTCATATGCCTCTGTTTACTTTTACAGCAACAAACCTTGAAAAAGTTGTCTGTATATTCTGACTCCACGTTCTCTCCTCACATCCTTTCCTAAACCCACTCCAAGCAGTTTCTTATCCTTATCACTCTACTCAGAGCACTCTTGCCCCGGTCATATAGCTATTCAGTTATACCTTTATTGCCAAAGCCAGTACTCACTTTTCTGTAGTCATCGTATTCACATTTTCAACAGAATGGCACAAATGATCACCCCATTCTCTGGAATCTATTCCTTTCTTTTGATTTCATGGTGCCACCCTATCCTGGTCCTTATCTTGCTCCACTGGCCGTTTCCTCTTAAATGCTTTTGCTGGATCTTCCTTTCTTCAATCTCTAATCTTTGGCATTTTTGGGGTTCCTTTTACTTCTTCATCAACTCTCTCCCTAGGAAATCTTAATCGTTTCCATTGTTTTAAAATCATCTATACAGATGTTTCTAAAATTCATAATTCTGCTCTTAGCTTCCTCCCAAAATTCAGACTTAAATGTCTAACTGTCAAATTAACACATCTCTTTGGATGTCTAACTGGAATCTCATATTCATCATGTCCCAAACTGAGCTCTTGAGGTCTTCCTCCTTCTTTATTTCTTTACGCTCCCGAATCTTTCCAATCTCTATCAACAGTTTCTCCATCTATCTAGCTCAAATCATACACCTAGATATCATCCTTGACTCTTCCCTTTGACTGACTTTCCTCATCAAATCCATTAGCAAGCTGTTTCTAAATATCTTATTAAAATTTTTTAAATTAAAAATATAGCTAAAATACAATATTATATTAGTTTCAGGGGTATGCCAGTTATTCAACATTTATATACTTAAAGGAGTGATCACCATGATAAATCCAGCAACCATCTGACACCATATTGTGCTATCACAATATTAATGACTATATTCCCCCATGTTGTACATTATATCCCCATGACTTATTTGTTTTATACCTGAAAATTTGGACCTCTTATTCCCCTTCTTTACCAAACCAAGGCCTGCTGCCACCTGCCATCTCCCTTAAGGTTCAGCCACTGATAAATACTCATGTGGTACTAAAGCTGGGTGAGGCAGGGTGTCACGGAGTCACTAGAGTGGGAAGAGTTGTGGTCACCAGATTAATGTAGACTGTGGTTTGGCTCCAGCGCTGAGCCTGGAGCAAGTCAGCAAAAGTCTCAGAGCACACTGAGGCCAATCACTGCCCACCTGGGGCCCATGGTCTCTGATAGTTTTCCAAGAAAGTGCAATTTGGGATAGGGTGGCTACTTTTGGAGAAAGTACCTCCAGCTGAGCTTGAGTTGAATGGGGCCAGGTCCCAGCTGAGTCAGCAGGGAAGAGCAGTAGAACTCACCAAGCCAATCAGATTCGGATTTGGCCAGTGGGGGCGGGCTCAACATAGAAAAATGGTACCTGCCTGCCAGCTGCTTGGGAGAAGGACTTCACACAGGGAAAATGGAGACTGTTCTTCAGTCCTCCGCCTGAAGCCACTCTCCTCAGTCTGCTACCCATACGGCTATGAGCCCCCGAGTCACCTTCCCTCCACTGGAGCCCAAGGTGAGTGCCTCTGAGGGAGTGAGTCTGTGCATGGGTCATTTAAGAGAATACCTTGGCTTCTTGCAGCCTTCCATCCCACCCAAATGGTCAGAGTCCGCACTTTTTTTCACCAGCCAGATATTGTGGGCGCCTCTTCTGGCACCAGTACTCTGGATTGGGGAGGCCAGTGGGGCTGGGGTCCCTCGTGCCTCTGGGGGGAACCTCCATGGCCGAGATAGCCCTCCTGATTCTCAACTGCCACAGGGAAGTTTGGGGCTTGTTCTGCATCTCTACTCTCCACCCATCTTGACTTGGCTTCTTTTTTATATTTTTAGTTATAGGACTTTTGTTTGGCTAGACTTCAGATGGTTCTCCATGTTGATTGCTCTACAATTGAGTTGTAATTTTAATATGTTCGCAGAATGACACAGGCACAGTGTTTATCTACTCCTCCATCTTGGATTTCTAAATATCTTATTCTTAACATTCTTACTTATTTTCTTCTCAATTGCTTATACCCTACTATAAGCCCCTCCTTCTAGCTCCCCTCCATATATATATATGTGTGTGTGCATGTGTGTGTATGTGTATATGTAGTCCAGATTAAATATACATATATATTATATATTCAT